AGGTAAAGAGATAGATTTCAGGGTGGCCAAATCTTGATCTCCCACATCACCAAAAAGAGGAGAATTGGCATGGATGTTAGCTCAGGGCTGATATTCCTCACACACACACACACACACACAAAATAAATAAATACTTAAAAATAAATAAATAAATAAAATGCTAAAAAAAAAGACAACCCAATTAAAAAACAAAGGATCTAAACAGACAGTTCTCCAATAAGCACAAGATGCTCAACATCATTAGTCATCAAGGACACGCAAACCAAAACCACTATGAGATACCCTTCACACCCATTAGGATAGTTAGAGTCCAAGGTAGATAATAATAAGTATTGGCATGGATATGCAGAAATTGGTACCCTCATACACTGCTGATGGGAATGTAAAATGGTGCAGCAGCTTTGGAAAACAGACTGGCAGTTCCTCAAAAAGTTAAACATAGATTTACCATATGACCTAGCAATTCCACAATATATCACTAGGTATAAACCCAAGAGAAATAAAAACGTATGTCCAAGCAAAACTTGTATATGGACATTCATACCAGCATCATTCATAATAACCAAAAGGTGAAAACAACCCAAATGTCTATCAATGGATGAATGGATAAACAAAATGTGATATATCCATAAAATGGAATATTATTTGGCCATAAAAAGAAACAGAGTACTGATACATGGTGCAAGATGGATGAACATTGAAAACATTAGGCTGAATGAAAGAAGCCAAATAGAAAACTCCCCATACTATATGATTCCATATATATGAAATGTCCAGAATGTGCAAATATGGTCAGAAAGTAGATCAGTGGTTGCCTAGGGCTAGGGGTGGAGGTGGGGAGGGTTGAAGGGTGATAGGAAAGAGTATCAAGTTTCTTCTTGGGTTGATGAAAATGTTCTAAGATTGATTGTGGTAATGCTTGTACAACTTTGAATGTACCAAAAATCACTTAATTGTACACTTTAAGTGGGTGAATTTTATGGTAAATTGTACCTCAATAAAGCTCTTTAAAAAAAAGAAACAATAAGTTAGTGTGGAATGGGATCTGATGTCAAGTAAAAGGCAGGGATAAGAATTTTTAATAGTGAACATATCTTTCCCTAAAAAGATCTCGTAGATAGATCAGAAGAAAGAGAAACAGTGGTTGGCAGATCAGCAGATTATCCTTAGGCTCAAGGGAAGGGGGCTCCCTGATAAAAAAAAAAAAGGGGGGGGGGCCTGACTGAGGACAGGGTGAGGGACTGGGGGCTGAAACCTTTCCCAGGGGTGCCAGGGATGGAGAGTCATTATTTCTTCTTACAAAGGCACTGTCTACTCACTAACTGATGCTTGGGAGTTGTGTCCACCAGATTGAAGAGGGGGAAGGAGATTTTTTTCCTAATTCATTTTATAGTCTAGCTGGGACCTAACCTCTCCCCTTGCATTATTAAACCTATTCCTGCCAGAGTTACCAATACCCTATCCTCTAGTTGCCTGGAATGATATACACTTTTTATCATTTATTTGACCTCTGTAGCACTAGGGACTGTTGGCCATTAATAATTAGGACTCCTCCTTTAGGTACTACAGCTATGAACACCTTTACTGCTGCTCAGCTTCTCTTCTTCTTCCAGTCAAGTAGAAGTCAGTGCTGTCCCACATTTAACATCTGTTCTTCTCTCTCTCAGTAGTCTCATCTCCTCCTGTCCTGTGCACTCTCAAACCTCAAACCCTAGTCCTGCCCTTTCTCCTCAGAGCCTCTTCCCCACTCCTTTGATGGACATTTCCACAAGGATTTCATGCCCGTACTTCAACATGACACAGGAGTAGTGAGGATGGAGGGCACAGGAGACATGCATGAGGAGCATTAGATTCATACAGTTTTAGCTTCAAGTCAGGAATAATCAATGGGACAAGATGGAATGTTGTGTAAGATGGGCAAGTAGGTCTGATAAAAACCAGCACATGTTGGGAAACTAGGGAGGCCTCAACACAAGTGAAGGGCAAAGGGTGTTCTGGAGTGAAACGACACAGTTAAGGAGGAGACACAACACTACTGGGGCTTTAGACATTAAAAGTCTGTGCACTTCATGATGCCTGGGCTTGTCTTTTCCGCCATCTCTTTTACCAGCCAAAGCATAAAATATGTTGCATGGCCAAGCAAAATGGCAGGTGGATAATAGGAGTAATTCGGGAAGAGGTAGGGGAATGAATTCAGACAACTCCAACCACTTCTCAAAGGTTCTCAGGTGCAGCCAGGTCTGCATAAGATGGCTGATCCCACCTGTGCTTGGTGAAAGGGGAGACACCCTCTCCCTAGCCCCTATAGGTCAGTAGGGACTCCCCCACATCTCAGACACACATATTTACATTATTATTTTATTCCATGTTGGAGACCATCCCCCAGTCTCTCAGATGCATCCAAAGCAGGAGTTAAGGATCAGGCCCCACTATAATTTTGAATTATAAAATAATGAATTCCCAGATGCCAGTAGCTCTTGGCTGCATGGTGGTAAGAGGTGTGGCTGAGCCTCTCTTTCAGATGATCCAGCACCCACAGAGGCCAGGCTAGATTGTTCTCCAGCTCTCCCCGTGGCCAGGAGCCAGCACCCGCAGCCTAGGCTACCTCTGCTGGGCCAGAACTAGCTGCCTGAACCAGGAGCTCACAGCACCATCCACTCGCATCACCAAAGCTATGCCCAGGAAAAGTCCCACGCTGCTCACAACGAAGCCCACAGCCTCAAAAATGAACCTGCAAAGAAAGGCAGAGAATCTCAGAGGACACTGAGAGTAGGTCTAGAGCCTTTCCCTGCTGAGGAAAACCCTGTCCACCCTAGAAGAACCCTGGATGTTCATTCTTTGCTCCAAGCTTTATCCTCCCCAAAACCTCTACCTCTCAAGAAAATCCACTCACTTGGGGGCAAACACCTTCCAGATCATGAGATGCCTGCGGAGGATGGAGGCTGCCAAGGCACAGGCCAGAATCTAAGGGAGGAGAGGAGGGGTCAAGTTACTTGGGAAGGGGAGGAGGAAGCGAGTCAAAGAGAGTCTTGCTGTAGGCCCCTGTGAAGAACAGGACAAGTAGGAAAATACTGTGTGTCAGTAGAGAAAACCCTGGGCCAGGAATTAGGACACCTAATTCTTTTCCTGTCCCCACCATGACTCACTGTGTGACCTTGGGCAAGCACTATCCATCTGTGCCACTAACACTCAGGCTCTGCCTTCCAGGGTGGAGGAAGATGTCAGAGTCATACCTTCTGCCTCTGAAGGACAGGAGGAAGAATCCTGACCATCGCCTCAGCTTTTCCAGTCCGTCCACTAATGCAGTAATCCCCAAATGCAACCAGGAAGGTCCAGATCGAGCTTGTAGAGAGGAACCAATCCAAGACTAGGATTAAGGAGACCCAGGTTCAAGTCTCAATACTGCCATTTGAGGCCACTGGCCTTGAGCAACCACTTCACTTATCTGTACCTCAGCCAAGACTCTCTCCCAGGGTTTTGGCAAAGTATGAAAGACAGAATGTGATGCATACACATGAGAAAAGGTTCTTAACTCCGTGATCATGCCCCTGCACCCACCTGAATACCAAGGACAAACAGGTACTTGAGGCCCAGCTGCAGCAGTGCTGCATTGAAGTGGTGAGGCGCATCCCGGAGCCGCATCTCCATGAGCGGCTCCTCCTCCTCCTCAGAACCGACTCTGGCCTCAGCTTCATTCCGTGGGGCCTGCCGCCTCCTCTGGGGCCCTTGACTCTCACATAGGAAGGGCCAGAGCAGGAGCAATGGGCAACCTACTACCTCAGAGGAAGACAGGGCTAGAATCAATGGAGAACCCAGGGGCCAGGCCACCCTTGCCCCTCGTTGGCTCAGCCTCCAATTAGTGTAGGCCAAGGGGCGCCAAAGATCCAACAAAATCACATCTCCCCACTCAATTCCAGGGGTTTCCTTTCCTTCCACAAAGCCAGAGTAAACAATAGAAGCAAGAGAGGAATGAGGAGGTACCTGCAAAGAGGAGATGGGAGGCAAAGGTGTTGGCTCCCACCAGCAAAGCAGGCAGCCACGTAGAGGAGCCATGACCCTCTGGGAATCCCACGAAGGCTGCATGCCAGTGGATGGCTGGAAAGACAGGCTGGTGGCCCGTGGAGTAGAAGGTCTGAGTGGCCATGAGGGCCCAAGCAGAGACTGCCTGCCATGGCACAGTAAAAGGACCTGCAGGGAGAGATATGCCTCTCTACAGTCACATCCCATTTCCTAATCCATAGCCTGCTGCCCTATGACCATATACTCCTACCACTTCAGCGCTAATTCTCACACACACACCCCATCACCCCAACGTCTCTATAGTCAGCACTCTGTTATTCTAATTCCTTCTGTGGCACGAAGCCCCATTACTCTAATCTGAACCCCACTGTGGTCAATCTCTTTCTCTCTCTAATATACACAAAGCTCACTATGACATTATATACTCAATTCACCACTCCCATCACTGGAAAATCAGGAAATGCGCTCATCCTCATGAGCATGAGGATGCAGCATTTCCATAATAAATGAATCTTGGAGTACTTTTTGTCTCCCTCCTCCACGAACCCTGCTGGCCCTGAGAGTCAATGGCAGGGATCAGTTAGCTTGGCTACAGCAGATAAGAGCGAGGACATCAGGAAGACCCTCCCAACTGTGTGGGGCATGAGACCCAGTGTCAAGGTGAAGAACCTGAAGAGCAACACCTCCCTGAAAACACGAGGGGCCGAACTCACATCACTACTGTCCCTGGAGGAATCAGGGCTGAGACGTGTATTTACCAGGGGTGGTGATGGGTATCCCAGCAGCAAGCAGATGCAGGAGAAGGAAGCTCTGCAGAAACAGAAGCAGGAACACAAGACTAATGCGTTCTGCATGCAAGAGCAGGAGTGGGAAGGCCAAGAGGGTGAGGGCCGTGACCACAGCAGCTGAGTAGACGCTCCCCAACTGATAGGCAGCCACAGTCAGGGGGCCCTGAGGTTTGGTCCTCTCTAGCTGGCCCCGGAACTCCTCCTGCATATGCCGGTAGATTTGAGGAACCACATAATCCAGGTCAGCCTGAGAAGTGGGGGGCCCTGAGAAGGGAGTGAGGACAGTCCTGCTCCTTGGAGCACCCGTCGCAGCCTTCACCAGCACTGTCACAGGCCTCCAGAGAAGCAGCATGAGCCCTGAAGCGGCCAACCCTGCCACAGCCCTAGGCAGCACTACTGATGCCCCAGCAACCAAGGCCCGGAGACGTGGGGGTGCTTCATCTGCCCCCGATGCCAATGCCCAATAGGCAGCAGTGCCCAGTACCATTACAGGCAGCCCCCAGCGCACAAAGAGTACAGGGGGCTCAGGGCTCTTGAGATTACCATGGCGGCGAAGCCATAGGCGCACAGCAGCTAACAGGGCCACCAGCGCCCCCACGCAGGCTCCATACCACAAATTCTTGGCTCGACCACCCACCACGGACGCCAAGGGACTCAGCCAGGGAGAAGAGCGGCACGCAGGTGTCTCTTCAGGGCAGCGATGAAAAAGCCCAGCTAGCCTTATACATAAAAGTAACCCGATTCCGAGCCCCAGGGCCTGCGCACCATTGTGCTGTGGGGGGCCTGTTGGGGCTGAAAGGCCAAGGCGGGGTATTGTGAGTAGCTTAGGTGGCAGCAGCCTGCCCTCCCAGTGAAGCCGGGCAACCAGGAGCAAGATGAGTGAGCCCAAAAGGAAAGGGGTGGCCCTAGCCTCAGCTACAACAAAGCTATCAGAGAAGAAAGCAGCAAAGCGAATGAACAAGAGTAACAAGACAGGCCCAGGCATGGGAAGGAGGGCTGCCAGGGGCCTCTTGGACCCCCAGTCAGCCCAGGCTTTCCACAGAAAAGGCAGAAGTGAGCCCACTGCAGCCATAGCCCCTAGAACCACTGGATCCAGCTTCAGCCCACTAGTTGCCAGGAGTCCAGCACATGCTATGGCCCCAGTCAGACCCTGGGCCATGGGGATTAGCAGGAGAGGGCAGAAGTAGAAGCCTGGGGATGTTGCCCACTGGGATACCAGAAGGCAGAGCAAGCAGGCAGCAGCCAAGAGAGCAGCACCCCCTGCCATGCGGACCAGAGAGAAATGAGCCCAAGACTCAATGCACATGGACTGAACTCCCCGCAGGAACTGCTGCAGCTCAGGAATGACAGCCTGCAGTGCCGCCTCAGCCCCTTGGGGGGTCTGCAGAAGCCACTGGTAGTCAGCAGAGGCCTTGGAGAAGAGGTGCTGCAGGCGATGAAGCTCCTTAACTTGGAGGTCCTGAGCAGCAGCTGAGTAGGTGTGAAGAAATCGGGACACCTGGCGGAATAGGTCAGAGGCCAAAGGGAACAAGTCAGAGATATAAATTAGGACAGAGGCAAGGATAGGTATTACCAAAGGGAGTACCTGCAAATCAGGGACCCAAATTCTGTCCAGGACAGCTAGGAAGGGAAGGATAATGGCCATACAGGTGGGATTAAGACTGAACAAAGATGATGGAGCAGGTCGTTATGCTTCTCCCATGCCCACCCTAGTTCTATCACCTGGAAGCCCAGCCTACTACCTACCTGCTGGGCATTGAGATGGAGAGCTGAGGCTTGGGCCAGAGCAGAGAAGTGAGGCTGGGAGTCTTCGACCTCTGAGAACAGCTCAGCTATCACCTCCCCAATGTTCCCAAACGGGATGGGGAGGCCCAGCAGCAGGGCCAGCGTAGGTACCAGGCTGATTTGAGGAACTATCTCTGGCTCCTAGAGGACAAGGACAGGGGTCAATGGTTCACCACAGAGCTGAGGTCAGTGTTTGGGACGGAAGACATAGGGGCCTAGGTAGGAAATGAGAATGGGGGACACCCAGTGTCATGAATTTGGGGGCCTAAAATGAAGGGATCCACAAGGAAGCTGTGATCACGACAGGGCTTAAATACCGAGAGAGCAGATAAAGCACACCTCAGGCCTCACCTCTGGTGGGGCACTGGGGAAGAGGGCTGTGGGACTGTACAGAAAAAGTGCAGCTGAGATCTCCAGTTCACTGTCCCCTCCATGGTCCCCACTCATGGTCATGCCATGGTCCCCAATCACCACCAGCAATGTGTCATTCTCCAGACGCTCCACAAGTCCCCTGGGGGCCAAGAAACATGTCAGGGGGTAGGGATGGATGAAGATTTTCTCAGGGACCCATTCACTCCCAGCCATAACTTCCATTAGTAGGGCCTAGACCTTTGGCAAAGAGACATCTCTTTGGTCATGACCCTACTGCCCAAAGCCACATGCTAAGTCACTCAAGATGGACAACGCCTCTAGCTTCAGAAAAAGGCCTAGAGAAGACAGAATTCAGATAAGAAAGAGGCTCCAGGACAAGTACTTCTTCTCTTAGGACCATATATCCTGAGATTCACAGACACAAACCCACTCTCCCAGCCAATATCTCACACTCACTGGATCACTTGGTCCATTTGGCTAAGTTTCTTGGCCATTTCAGGGTGGTGAGGGCCATGCTTGTGGCCACAGTGATCCACACCCAGGAAGTGAGCAATCAGCACATCCCATTCACCACTGTCCACTGTAAAGGGAGAACAATGAGCACAGGGGACTAAGGCCCATTCCTCAACCCCAGCCAGGCTCTGACACTCCTATGTCAGGTACACAAGCCCAGGCCACTGCACCCATGGGAGGCTCAGAATTTGTAGACTGAAGTGGCCCTCCCCAGCTCCCAGTCTTAGTCAGCCCTGCCTCTGGCTCCATGCTCACTGGTTGGGTAGAGGTGTTCCAGGATGCCATTGTCCACTGTGTGTAGGTCTTTGACATTGAAGGATGGGAAGAAGAAAGCTTGGGAGAAAGCTCCAGGAAAAAGATCTTTCCAGGTATCATCTCCCATGAAGACCACACGCCTTCCTGCAGGAAAACGAGAGTGGGTCATAGCCTGAGTAGGAGTCAGGGCAGGGAAAAGAGAAGAAACCCCTTAAAGGCCCATCAGAAATCCCAACCATGTACTCTAAGGCACAGCAGTTCCATCCAGCAACTCTTTATCCTGCATGGTCTAAAATTTTCTGCTAGGAAGCTTCCCCTGATAACCATGCTCCACCCAGACCTCTCACTCCTTGTTCCCACAAAAGGCTCTGCTAGTTCTCAGTCCCCGGCTATCTCCACTGCTCCATTTTTCCTGGGTATTATCAGTGAGTGAACAGGGCCTGGACCCTCTGCTCTCTCCTCCAGACTTGTGAGGGTACCAGACCCACATCTTCTCCTCTTCATCTCTCCCCTGCCCCTTCACTGAGAGCTCCCCAAAAGTCACACCAGGGGCCGGCCCCGTGGTGTAGTGGCTAACTGCACACGCTCCGCTGCTGGCGGCCTGGGTTCGGATCCCGGGCGCGCACCGATGCACCGCTTGTCAGGCCATGTTGTGGCGGTGTGCCATATAAAGTAGAGAAAGATGGGCACAGATGTTAGCCCAGGGCCAGTCTTTCTCAGCAAAAAGAGGAGGATTGGCATCAGATGTTAGCTCAGGGCTGATGTTCCCCCACAAAAAAAAAAAAAAAAGTAAAACCAACACCCCATACAGATTAGAAACTCCAGAAGGACAAAGCCCAGACCTGCACTTCCTGCATGCAGGGCCCTGGTCTCTTTCTCCTACTCTGTCCTCCCTGTCCTCTCACAGCATAGTCAAGCATGCAACTGGGCACTCCAAGTTCTGGCTCTCTGACTTCTTTTTTTGGGTGTGTGAGGAGATCAGCCCCGCGCTAACATCTGCCAATCCTTTTTTTTTTTTTTTTGTGAGGAAAACTGGCCCTGGGATAACATCCATGCCCCTCTTCCTCCACTTTATATGGGAGGCCACCACAGTGTGTCAGTGCACGCCTGGGATCCGAACTGGAGACCCCCAGCCTCCGCAGCGGAGTGCGCTTACTTAACTGTTTGCGCCACCGGGCCGGCCCCAGGCTCTCTGACTTCTAAAGAAGAAATTTGCCAAGATACTCCTGGCCTCCAAAGAGGCCCAGACTAACCTGCATTGGCAAGCTGCTTAATGAGATTGTCTTCCACTATGGCGTAGCTGGCAAAGTTACTTCCAGCATCAATAAAGGTAGGCAGTGAGCCAGTGGTGAGGGCCTTGAGGCGCTGCATGGTGGTGGTGGGGGGGTGAGCCTTTGATTGGTAGAGCCTGGCATGGTGGGGCTGAATCTCCAGGATCCTCTGCAAGGATCCCAGCTTGCCCAGGAAGGGCAGGGAGACAGGAGGCTCCCCAGGAACGCGTGAGCGCTGGGGCTGGGCAAAGTCAAATCGCAGAGCATCTATCAGCACCAACACAACCCGGGAGAATCGAGAAGCCATCCAGCAGGCCCCGGGCTCCCCTCGGCTCCCCCATGGCAGGGACCCAGGGCCTGGGGGCTCTTGGCAGCTGCTATGGTTGGTGAGCTCCAAACGGGTGAGCAGGAAGCCACTGGTGAAGAGGGCGATGCCTGCGTAGAAGAGGAAGCTGACCCAGGCCAGGAAGAGCAGCACTGATATCTTCTGCATCCTGGTGTTGGCGAGAGCGGGAATTCATCACTGTGGAGCAAAGAGCCAGTAGATATTCTGGTCTCTCAATACAAAGTCCAGCTAGACTCACTTCCTCTTGGAAGCCTTCCTGAAGATAAGCAGACCCATAGCCAACCCAGTGCAACGTTCCTCTCCACCGTTTTACCAGTGTTTCTGAAGGTGAGCTCCGCAGACTATGGGCAGGCATCAACCTGGAGCGGTTGTTAAAAATTCTGATTTCCAGGGCCCACCCCAGACCTACTGAAGCAGGATCTCTGGGGGTGGAGCACAGGAATTTGCACATGTACTCCAGGAAATCCTAACAGCGAAAACACAGTCCAGGGGGAAAACATTCCAAGCGGGAGGCTGCTCTGACAGCCCGCTCCTCCACCTCTCTCCGCGCCAATCTCTACCCGCCTGGGGCGGCCCGGCTCGCAGCCGCGGGAGAACCGGGCCGGGCAACGGCGCCGCCTGGCGGGGACGAGGAGACGGGGGAGGAATCACGCTCCGCATCCGTACGGCCGGACGGCAGCGGGCCGCGAGAGCAACCTCCCCCAGCAGGGCAGAGGCGCGGCATCCGGGGCCGCTTGGGCCTCGCCGGGACCCAGACGTCCTCCGGGTGCTACCCGCCTCCGTCTGGGCCCCCTGACCCCGGTCCCGGCACGCTAGCCTGGGAGCTGAGGCGCGCGCTCCCCGACTGGGGGCAGAGGGGCGTGTGAGGTGCTCTCAGAGACTCCGACTCACCTTGACCGGCGCCCGGAAGTGCGGCGGCGGCGCCTGCGGCCCGGCACCCCCGACGTGCGCGCGCAGACAGGGCGGCCCGCGGGGCCCGACGCCATCTGCCGGCGGCCCCGAGGAAGTGCGCCTAGGAGGGCAGGGCGGCCCGAGACGCAGAGTTGGATGGAGGATTATGGTAATTTAGAATTGAGGGCAAGGGACTCAGCTGGAAGAAGAGTTCAGAGAACCAAGTCCATTCTTGGTTAAGACTAAGAACTAGGCCTCTGGAATCAAACTTAGCTTGATTCCTATCTCTGCCACTCAGTGTCGTCACTGAGCATTACCTCATCTGTAAAACAGAGATAAATATTTATTTTCCCCCTTTGTTTAGCTGACTCCAAATGATAGATTTTATTATTCCTCCTCTCCAAGTCTTTCACTGAATCTTACAACTCAGTAATAACAAGACAAATAATCCAGTTTAAAAATGGGCAAAGGGACTGAAGAGACATTTCTCCAAAGAAGACATATAAATGACCAATAAACAAATGAAAAGATACTCAGCATCATTAGCCATCAAGGAAACGCTGGAGATACCACTTCAAACCCACTAAATGGCTATAATCAAAAAGAGAACAAATTACTGGTGTTGTTACAGTGTGGATGTGGAGAAATCTGAATCTTCATACACTGCTGTTTGGATTGTAAAATGGTGCAGCAGCTCTGGGAAACAGTTCCGCAGTTCTAAAGGTTAAACACAGAGTTACCATATGACCCAGCAATTCCATTCCTAGGTGTACACCCAAGAGAAATGAGAACATATGTCCACACAAAACTTGCACATGAAGGTTCATAGTAGCATTATCCTTAATATAGCCAAAAGGTAGAAACAACCCAAATGGTCTTCACTGCTGAATAAACAATATGTAAAATGTCTATACAATAGAATATTGTTCAGCCATAAAGAGGAATGAAGCACTGCTACATGCTACCACATGGATGAACCTTAAAAACATTACGCTGAGTGAAAGAGGCCAATCACAAAACAGCACATATCTTATTATTCATTTATATGAATATGTAAATCTGCAGAGACAGTAAGTTTGGTGGTTCCTAGGGCTAGCGGGCAGGGGAGTGGTTGCTAATTGGTGCAGGGTTTTGTGGCGTGGTGGGGATGGGGGAGTGGAGATGAAAATGCTAAAATCGTGATGTTGCACAAGACTGTGAATATACTACCAGTTACTGAGTTTACATTTGAAATGGGTGAACTGTATTGTCTGTGAATTATTTCTCAGTAAAGCTACTATTGAGAAAGAAAAACCTCTCCACTGGTTTCTCGTCTCAGAGCAAAGCCCAGGTCCTCACAGTCTGCACAGCAGCTTCTCGCGTCCCTCAAGTTCCTGTAGCCACCACTTGTTTCTCTGCTCCGCCCACTTGTAGCTGCTGTGCTCTTCCAGCTATAAGACAGCCATGCTCTGCCTCAGGGCCTTTGCATTTGCCATCTCCTCTGTCAGTTTTACTCCTAGGTGCCCAAATGGGTCTTCCCCTCATCTCCATAGCTAAGCCTACATATAACATCAGTGAGCTTTCCTGGAACCCTCTACTTAATGCTAGAGCCTCCTATCCCCAAATTCCCCATCTCCCTCCCTTTCTTTAATTTCCCCTATGGCACAACTCACCAGCATCTGAAATACTATACATCTTATTAATGGTTTGTCCCTTCCAAATAGAGCAGGGAATTTTGTCTTCATCACTATAATCCTCAATGCCTGGCGTATAGTTGGGCTTCAATAAATAGTTATCAAATGGATAAATGAATAAATTCTAATTCAAAAATATGTCAAAATGCCATCCCTCCACATCCATCCAGATGGCCCCTTACCTCAGTTCAGGCCTTATCACCCTTTCCAGGATCACTGAGGCAGCCTTCTTACTGTCCTTCCAGCCTTCCATCTCTCCTTCAAATCCCGTCCATATGGTAGCAGGACAAGTCTATCATTATGTACGGTAAATTCTAATGTGATTACCTCAATCTTCTTAAAATTCTTCATGGGAACTGGGGAAAAAGCCTTCATGGATCCCCTCACCCTAAGGATAAAGTCCAAACTCTTCAGGACTCTATCTCCCTGTGATTTGGCTCTTGCCATAGTCACATGCCCCAACACCCTACACTTCAGCCACAGCAAACAATTCTGAATGTGCCAACTTCTCCGGAGTTGTGGGCCTTTGAATATCCTAGTCCCAAACCCTAGCCTGGTGACCGCATTAACTTTTCCAGCCTGAGCTCATGGCAGAGTTGGCAACCTTGCTGCCCACAAGGTGACATGCTCCTCCCCACCCCCAGGAACCCTCAGCCAGAACTTTCCTCAATTACAGCACTTATCACCCTGTATCTCTGTCTGCTTCATTGTCTGTCTCCCCTCCCCAACCTGGTATTCTGTGAAAGCAGGGACCAGTGGCTCTCAGTTACTTCTGTAAGCCATGTCTAGCACTGTGTTAGCACACAGTAGACAGCATTATGTTTTTGAATGAATGAATGAGTGTCCTCAGTCCCTGAAGACCCTTTACACACTCAACAGTACTACCCTGCCAGGGCAGTCCTCTTTCCCACAAAAAATCCCCCCAAACACCTGCTCAAATTCACAGCTCCACACTTAGCAGGAGGGGGGACTATACTCCCCAGGAGGCAGTTCAGTAGGTATGTGGCTTAATCCTTCCACCCTATCCCACAGCTTCTCCTGAAGACAGAAAGGATGATTTCACTTCACATGAAGTTCATACTTGCTCATAGAAGAATCAGCTCCCGAGCAAGACCTGACAGGACTGGATTGCGGGAGCGGATATCCAGGGAAAACACTGGTAATTTTGCCAACTTCACTCCCCAATCAGAGAGGACAGTTTCTGGTTCGTCACTGGTGAGTTTATTACATGATTCAAGTTCAAATAAAAAAATAATAACCAAAATCTTGGCAGGGAGGCTAGAGCCAGTCTGGGAGCGCCACTTCCCTGCCCCCAGTCTCCCTGGTGAAGCCTTGCGCCATTAACTCAGCTTGACTCGATCGAATTCCTCATCAAGACTTGCATCTCTGCCCTGGACATCTCTGCTGCTCCCGCTGGAGACTGAGTCCTGGGCCCCTGGCACTGGGGCTTTGGTGAGGGCCCCATACACACCCATGGCCTGAGGAGAGGGACAGAGACAGAGCCATAAGGACACATGGCAGAAGGCATAGCCCAACCCACCAATGGCTAAAATGAGGAGGGTGGAGCTGGGGCCAGTAAGCTTGTTTTTCCTTTCTCTCCATCTCAAGCCTCTGTCTTACGAGCTTTGGAGTTGGTTCTGGGAATCTTACAAACTACCAGAGCAGGGTCACCCTCAGAATACCGGTATAGGGATCTGCAAAAAAAGAAAAGGTGTCTCAAGAGCTTCCCTATCCCCAAGGGTGAGTGACCGTGGCTCCTTCTTAGAGGTTCGTTTTCTAGAGGGAATGAAGGGAGGTCTAGGTCTCAGGGCTCTCTGAAGGCCTCTATGGTGTGTAAGTGGTGACAGTTGTGGTAGGGTCTCAGTCTCTGGAATTGGTGCTCTGTGCCAGGTCCTCCAGGCACTCTAACCTGAGCCACCATACTGGTGACATCGCCGGGGTTGGAGGGCAGCAGGATAGTGTTGGAGTCCTTGGCCAGTTTGGAGAACGCGCTGACATACTGCTCAGCCACAGTCAGTGAGGCTGCTGCATCTCCATTCTGTGGCCACAGAAGGGATAAAGTCAGAGATCACAGACTTGGAGAAGGGGGACGGGGGTAAGTGGAGAGAAGTCAGGTTCCTGGAAAGGGGATATGCAGATGATAATACAAGAGATCATGTAATCTGGCTCAGTGGAACCCACAACAGCAGGAACTTCTCCTAAGGGTAGATTCCTGTCCCCCACTCCCACCCAGGGGCCTCTCACATGCTGTGTCAGAGCTGCAGCTAGGATGCGAATAGCTTCAGCTTTAGCCTTGGCCTTGGCAAGCACCGCACTGGCCTCTCCTGGAAGAAAAAGACAAAGCTTGACCCATGAGGTCAGGATACCCCAAAGCTCCTGTCCCAGCATCAACCCTCAAACCCATGCCCTGCTCCTCCCTCAGCCTCTAGCCTCTGCTGACCTGCTGCCTGATTTATTTGTTCAGCCTTTTCTGCCTCGGAGGCCAGGATTTGTGCCTGCTTCTTCCCCTCTGCCACATTGATGGCTGATTCTCGGGTCCCCTCAGACTCTAGAACTGTGGCCCGTTTCCTCCGCTCTGCCTCCACCTGAAAGCCCCCAGCAATCCCCATCAACAAGAAACCAGAGTAAACTCTTACAGAGACCTGCAACTGTACCCATCAACAGAGGGAAGGGAGTCCAGGTTCCCATGCAACTGGAGCATCCTGAAGTCCTCTTCCCCATCCCTCCCTGGCCCCCACCTGCATCTGCATGGACTCTTTCACCCGGGGTGGCACATGGATATCCTTGATCTCATAACGGAGGCAGCGGATGCCCCAGTAGTCAGCAGCCTGGTTGATGGCATCCACAATGCTAGCATTCAGCGACTCCCGCTCCTGGAAGAAGAGAGGTATAAGCTCCATGGCCTCAACCCACCCAAGAACGGTCTAAGCTGAGAAGGACCTGGGACTGTTCTTGACCCCTAGAAAGGAATGAGAGTGCCAGGTATGTGTCTTCAAACTCTAACTCTGGCTGAGATCCCCTTACCCGGAAGACTTTGTCCAGAGAGAGTTTGCCAAGCTCTGATCTCATGGTTGTCTGAGCCAGCTGGGTGACAGCATACTCAGGATCCTCCACGCCATAGCTTGCCTGAAAGGGGCATGGATAGTGTAAGAAGCTTGGGTGCAGGATTTTAGTAAGGAGAGCAACTTAGGAACTGAATGAAGCAGGGGACAGGTACCTTGTAAGGGTCCATGATGCGCAGGTAAAGGACTCCATCGATTTGCAGAGTTACATTGTCTGCAAGTGCAGGAGCAGGAGAGAAAAGGAGGAAGGTCAGGCCTCCAGGTCCCAATCAGGTCTTTCTCCTAAGCTCTGGATCTCCTGCAACCATATCCTAATGGCCTCAGAGCACCAGTGTCACCCTGCACCCTTCAGTCCTCACCAAGAGTCACAGCCGACTGCTCAGGCACATTGATGACAATTTCCTTCAGACTCTGCACATATCGGATTCGGTCTAACACAGGGATGAGGATGTTCAAGCCCTGGGAAGAGGAGTCATGGGTCCTCAGAAGGACAGGGGCTGTAGGGTTGGGATCCAAGCTAAGCCACAAGTGGGTAGGGAATCAACATATGGAACATGCCCAGAAAAGGAGAGGCTGGGGGTGTCTCTGGTAGGGAAGCCCAAGAGGATAGGAAGGCAAGGCTGGCTCTGTGAACAGCGTGGAGAATCAAGGGAATGGGAGCCAGCAGAGCCGCCTTCTCCATGCAGACAGGTGAAGCTGAGAAGGTGCATAGGGGAGATTCCAAGAATGGAGCCTGTGGGATAGTAGGGCAATAGGAAAAAGTGGTAACATGGGTATGAGGGTCAGCAGCCTGGGTCTGCCAGGTCTGGCCTGGGGAGTTGGAAGCCAAAGGTGAGGGCAGGCCCCAAAGAGGTCCCACCCCATCTCCCGATGTCGTGAGGGAAGTGGGTATCAGGCGGGCCCGGGGTGGGCAGAAGAGACTCTCACAGGCTCCAGGATCCGGTGGAATCTGCCCATTCGCTCCACCACCCAGGCCTCCTGCTGCGGCACAAACAGTACCACGGTGTTTCGGGGCAATCCGGAAGAGGCGCGGCGCGTAGCGTGGCCAGAAGCCTGCACGGAGCCCTAGGGGGAAGGCGAGGGTTAGCAGAGACCCCAGCCGGCGGGGCACCCCGTCCCTGTCCCGGAGGCATCTCCCTAAACCTCGACCCTAAAGGGTTCTCGAAGAGGGACTCACGTGGGTACTATGACCTCTGACCCCAGTTCTCTCCCGAAACTTGAAATCCCACTCCTTCCCAGCTGAGGACCCAGGCGATCTCCGGCCTGACCCTTGGAGAAGGTTGCTTCGCACTCACCCTCAGCAAAAGGGCCCCCGTACTCCGCGCCGCGCGCGCCAGCATTTCCCACGCCAGTAGCCACCTCCGGAACCACCGAGACGCGGAGCAGAGCGGTCGCTCTAGAAGCCCGGACCTGAGCCTTTCCTCTTGCGTTTCCACTCCCCCGGATGTACTTCCGGCCGTCCCTCTCCCGATTCCACACTCGGCCGGTTAGCGTTACTTGGCGGAAGCGTGCATCGGGTCGTTCCCTGGGCAACGCAGGCCTTCTAGAGAGAGCCCAAGGCTGGGGCTTGTTCTTGTTCTCGCTGACCAAGCGTAAGATCCCGGACATGGTGACCAAAATGGAAGCTTTTTCCGCGTGCAGGTAGCCCAGAAACACCTCCCACCGATTTCTTCACCCCTACCCGAGAAGATTCAGTTTACCCTTCTGAGCGTATAATCGCACCCATCCGTCACCACAGCGAGCGGAGAATTGGCGCTGACTCCTCGCCATGGTTGCCATAGTGACATTCTCTGGTAGTCCTGCTGTGTTGTACCCAGCCCTCCCGCTGCGGACTGACCCTATTCTCGTTACGCTGGTTACCAGGCTTAACATGGCCCGTGATTTGACTGAGATTTCCCCCTCCCCTCTTTTCCCAAGGCACCGTAGCCTTTTTTGCCTCTTCCCAGCCGGGGTCTGTAAGGCCAGGCACCGTTGCATACAGAGGCCAGCACACCCAGCGTTAAGCCTTGTCTGGAGCACATCACCCTGCACACAGCCCTGACGCTCTGGCACACGCTTTAAGAGACTTGCACAGTCACTGTAGCTCAGAGGGGCTAAAGTCATTAACAATAGAAGCAGTGTAAGAACCCAGATCCACATTCGGAGTGCAGCTTTTATGGCTGAACCTTCCCCACCACCTCACCCCATTATCTGAAAAGAGCAAGATAAGACCCTAAGAATGATCAGGGCCTCAGGCCTCCCCTCTGGGAGAAAGAGCAGAGTCACAGCTCCAGTTGGGCCCTCTATCCCCATTCCCATGCTCTCCCCAACAGAAAAAGTAGGGCTTAGCTCAAGTTTTCAAACAAGAATTTATTCTTTCTTTTTTTATGTTTCCTAAAAAAAGTACCAGGTACAATTTTTTACTGTTTTTTTTTTTTTTTTGTCTTTTTCAACTTTCAGCAAATGCTTGTTCCCCTCAGCCCAGTGCCAGAAGTCAGGGCTAAGGCTGTCAGAGTCTGGAGTGGGGAAGGGGGTAGTTGGGAACCACATGACTGAGTTTGAGGGGTGCCCCTCACCGCAGCTGAGGTAGGTGGGTCAGAGTCTGGCCAGGTGAAAGGAGGCACCCCGGTCCTTGGCCCCGACTCTGCCCCCTGAACACCTTCCTCAGTCAGGACCCCAAAGCAAGGAGACACAAGCAGGAGGAGAGGGAGAACTGGAGTCTGGAGCCCTAGATGAGGGGTGGTTAACCCCCATGTGTGCACATGCATGCACGCTCTCTTTCTCACACACACGCCACACACACACACACACACACACATAGATAGAAGTTGGCTTTCAGAGAGGGGTTAGAGAGTAGGGGAAGTGAAAGGAATGGGGAAGGACAAGGGAAGCTGAGTCTTTGGCTAGTGACTCAGTCCTTCTGGGATACACTCTCCACCCTCTGCTGAGGGCGAGCAGTTCTCCCCCAGCCCCCACATCAGCCTCTTCAACCCCTGAGGTTGGAGCAATATGTGAGAGTGAGAAAGGAGGAGGGGCAATGCCAATTATCATGTTTGGGAGGTTACCAAGGCAACCCAATTTGAATAAATTATAAATTAAAAATAAATAAAATAATAAGTGGCCCCTGCCCAGGACAGGGAGGCAAGGCTGGCACAACTTGCCTGGGAACTTGGGACAACTTCAGGGTAGCTCTGGTTCCTGCCCACCACGTAAGCCGGCCTGGGAAATCCGGCGGTGGGGGGGCAGGCACGTGAGTACCCAGAGCAGGGCAGAGTGTGGTCAGGATCAGCTTTAAACACCCAAATAATCAGTTTGGGCATGAGCATAGCGAGGGCTTTAATTCAAGCCTGAAGGTCTCTCACCACCTCTCCACATGTTTGCTCTGTCCAGGATGGAGTAGGATGGGCAGGTCCTTGGCCCACACGGGTTCAGGGCACTGACAATCACGGCAAAGGTGAATAACGTGGATTGTCAGGGGCCTCAGTCACAGCCTGCAGTTCGTAGGGGAGGCCTGTGTCCAGTTCCAGGCTCCGGCGGGAAAAAAGCAAGCGGATGTCTCCATGCAGGCTTAAGCGGCCTGAGCGGGAGCTCCGGAACCTGGGGGAGGACAGGGTGATCAAAGAAAGAATCCAGAAGTAGAGAAGCCAGGAGAAATCCTATTCAGGGAAGGGATACCTGGGCCTCCCCAGCTGCCCCTGGGCCCGTCCTCACCTGAGGTGCAGCAAGTAGCAGAGGAGGCGGCGGATGGGACTCGCATTTCCCTCCTCACCCACAGGCACCAGAAAGAGGCGATGGCGCAGGAAGGTCATGTGGGCAGCAGGCATGTCCGAGAAGTCAAAGGTCACAAGGAACATCTTCACCACAGTCTGGTTGGGGTTAAATAAGGTCTGGGGACAGGGCAGACAAGGTTGGTAGAGCCTAGGGGCTGTCTTCCTCTCCCCATTCCCCCCGTCAGGGAAAACTCACCACTTGGATGGTGCCCACCTTGGGCACACTGTAACCCTTCCTCCCCAGGGGGTTCAGGTCCACGATGCCCTGGGAAGGCCATGGAGCCATGAGCCAAGGTGGGGTCTGAGAGAGCCTCGAATACTCACCACCTCCACAATCTTTCACTCCAGGACCCCTGGCCCCTGCCCCACACTAGAGTTCTCCCCACCTGGCCCTGCCTCCCTCTTAGGTGAGAACACCTAAAGAATACCTCCTGCCCCCAACCCATCACCCTCACGAGCTAACTTTGGATTGAGGTCAGGTCATACCAGGAAGGGGGCCGGGGCATTTTGCTCAGAAACATCAAAGAAGGTGACAGTGACAGGGAGTGTGACATGCTGGGGGCAGTAGGATCCACTAGCTCCAATCTCTGCCGTGAAGCCCTCAATGTGGCCAGATGGTGCAAAGCGTCCTTGCAGTAGTGATTCCTGGGGTTTGAGGAAAACACAATATGAGAGAGATGCCAGCTATTTTCCTTATCCCTCCAAGCCACACTCCACCACCTCACTCTCCCCAAAACCCCGTCACAGATTCCGAAGGGAACTACCTCAAAGTTGCCCAACAGAGTACGGCTGACGGCAGGGGTAGGAACGGGGGAGGCACTGAGGGGGCTCAGCAGGCCTGGCCCCTTCTGGAGGCTTCGAAGGGAGCTCCTGGTAGGGGAGGGGACACAAAGTAGGTTCGCTTGAGGCATTCTGGGATGCTTGCTCATGTCCCTAGGCCCCACCCTTTGCCACTACCTAGGGCTCCCGCCCTGGGGTCCCCCACCCTTGGGCTGAAAAGAGGATTACAGACTTCTGTCTCATTTTCAGGGACAGGGCACAGGGAGAAGCTGGTCACTTACAGCTTCAGGCGACGGGCACCTTTCAGCCTCCGCCCCATGGGACTGCAGTCTCTTGGGTCCTATGGAAAGGAAAGAGATTGGGTAGAAGCCAGGTATGTTTGGGAGCAGGGGTTCACCACAAGTTCTCACAGGAACATCCCCCCAGGCTTTCACCTTTTCCCCTACAGATATCCACTTAAGAGTAGAGCACCTCCTCGCATGGCTTACCAGCACAGGCTCCTTGGTTCCAGGCAGCAGGTGGCTCCAGAAGGATGTGGCTTTGGCATCAGAACTGTTGGCAGCAGGAGGGTGGCCCAGGGTTCCCCGGCGCCTCCGAGGGGCTGGCCCCTCATCCTCAGAGCTGACATCCAGGGCTTCTCCAGCAGGAAGCAGCCTTCGCTTGGTGGGACAGGGGCCTGGAGGTCCAGGGCCAGGGGGTGTGTGCTCGGGACTGTGGCCATTGGCAGTGCCAGGGGACTCCCTAGGCCAGGGGCTGCCCCCATTGCCCACCCCAGCCACTGGGCTCTTACCCCTTATTTGTGCAAGACTGTGCAAATCAGCATCAAGTGTGTGCATTTGGCCCTGAGGGGCTGGCCCTGGGGACTCCCCCAAGGACCCCTGTCCCCCTGGATCTGGGGAAACCCAGTCTCTTGTGTGCAAAGTATTGCAGGAAGCATTTGATGGGTGCCAGGGGGGACTCCAGGCCCCTGAAGTCCAAGGTGAAGTGGAGCTACCGCCCTGTTCCACAACACAGAGGCCATGATGGCAGAAATGCTGGCTGGCCACACCCAGTCCTAGCCCCAGTCCCTCTGGGCCCACGAGCCCCACAGTAGATGGTTCTTCAGGGGGTAGTCCCTCTCTGGCCCCCAGCCCAGGGCCTCTCTTCAGCTCCCGGGGACCCTCAGTGGGTGGGGCTGGCCGTTTCAGGGCCCTGTGAGGCTCGGAGGCGCCAGCTGGAGGAGAAAAGATGGATACCTGGTAGACCCCGGGGGATGTCGCCCCCCCTGCTGGGCTGTAGCCCATGAGCAGGCCACCCTGGAGGGCCCCCTGCCTGACTGCAGGCTGCGAAGGGCCAGCCTCTGGCTCTGAGGATGGAGACAGCTCCGCCTGCACGTGGCGCATGAAGCCCCGCCTTGGGTCAGGGGGGCCCCCCCACACAGCCTTTATGCTGGGCCTGGGCTGGGGGGCCTGAGGACATCTGTGCAAGAGAAGAGAAGAAAAGGTGATCAGAGGAATCAATGAGTCTTCTCCCTCCCAGCTGACTTTCAGATCCTCCCATGGCCTGAAGAGGTGACCTTGTGGGGTTCCTGGGGGTAAAGGTGTCCAAATCCCCAGATGGATTAATGGAATATAGAGGCCACGCCCAGAACTTCCAAGAGGGTGACATGTTTAGTTCAGCTTTCTTACTGTACCTGCTTCCCCTCCCTCTCCCTGGCACTCACCCCGATGAAGAGGCCTTAAGCCCAGCTCTGTGTTCCCTCTTCCTAAGTGATGCCTTGCTCTCCTAGCTTGCAGTCTGGTCCATGCCCGCTGCACTGGCAAGGTGACTGCCACCATTCCGTGTAGCTCCTGGGCTCAGCTGGACCCTGAGGAGAGAAGAACAGACATAAGCTAGGATCCCTGGAGCCAGTGGTAAGTCTCCTTTCCAACTGTGGGCTAAGAGAGCACCCCCAGTCCATCCTCCTCCCATGAGGAGCTCTTCAGAAACAGAAGGGGCCATCTTGGGATCCAGGGCCCAGAGGACAGAGCTAAGGAGCCACAGAGAGGCAGGTCTTGGCTCAGTGTAATAAGGATGTGAGAAGTATGTTGAGGCAGGATGATCACTTGTCAGGGCCACCACCTGGGGGACCCCTGCCCTAAATAGGAGGGGGGATGAGATACCCTAAGACCCAAGAGACCATGCCAACTGAGAGGTGGCCAGGACAAGAATTCAGCCCTACTAATCAAGGCCACTGAGTTGCACAATTCCTTCCCAAAGGGACAAGTGCCACCCCCAAGCCCTAAGGGTAGAGGTCTTACAGAAACTCACACCCCATCAGCACTCCTTAGAGGTATAAACCTCAGGTCAGCTCAGAGTGGGCCCTTCAGCCTTAAACTCCCAATTGCCCCCAGCAGTCTGTCCCTTAACGGGAGGCAACAAATCTAACCAAAAACAAGTCTGGTGGGGAGGAGGCACTGCCAGAAGGCACTTTCCAGGGCCTACCCCTCCCCTTAGGCCCTGCAAACTAGAGATAAGGCAGAGGCACTCAGACAGCTGGAAGCAACTAGGAATACCTCTCCACTCCTCCCAAAACATCCAACACCCAAAAACCCAACCCACTGCTTTTCTGCCAGGGCACAAAATGGTCTTTACTGACCAGTCCACTCTCAGGAGCCAATACTGGGTGAGGGGAATTGAAGTTAACTTGAAGGCCATCTTCCTTCATGGGAGGAAATACTGCCCCCAGGATCAATCTTCTCCTTTGGGCAGTTGCCTGTGCTGCCTGCCATTCACAATACCCTTTCCCCTTCAAGGAATACCCCCGGATGCCTCCCCAAGCGCTACCCTTCCTCCTTGGCTAGGCCAAATGTCATCCCCTCCAGAAAGCCTACTCTGGCCACCCCAGACGATAGATATTTCTCTCTCCTCTGAGACCTCAGCTATGGCAGTGTCACCATCTCCTGTAACCCAGTGACAAGTTTGCTTGCTTCTCTGGGTAAGACATCTCCTAGAGTGACCATAGGGTTCTTGAGGGTAGGTCTGTGCCCCACTTCTCCACCCAACTCCAAGCATAGGGGTAAGCACGTAGCAGAGCTCAAAAAAGTGGAATGCAAGTCCCAGAGATCTGGGCAGCAGTCCTGACAGTGCAGAGGAAAACCAACCCCCAGGATGAAAGAAGCAGAGAAACTAACTGTATAGGAAGAATCAGCAACAGAGGTGGGGGTGGGGGGCAGGCAGAAAGGGGAGATTTACACCCAGGACTGAAAAGCTCTCCTACACCAAGTTCTCAACATTGTACCTCACACTATCCTATTTCACCAAGTTCCCATTAGAACTGAGATCCCTAAGAAAATTCTGGTTTTCTGTGGTGGGTGGGGTGTCTGGAAAGAGCAGAACGCCAACGATAGTGTTGTCAGAGGGTACAACCTGTACTGGTCTCTACCCCTCCTTTCCTCTACCCAAGCCATACAGATTCAGGAAGGGCCTTTTCCTTAGCACTCACACCTCCAGGTCATCCAGTTGGCCTCTTGAGCCCTTGCCCTGGGGAAGCCAGGTGATGACATGATGCCCTACTTGACCCCAGCATGCCTGGCATCTGCTCATTACCCCAGAGCCCTCTCGGTTCCCATGCTGTCAATGAGAAACTCTAAGACTCACTTCCTGCCACCCAGCCAGTCTGGCTCTAGACCATGGCTTCAAGCTGACTCATGGGGCAGGACTGTGGGCAGTGGGGGGGGGGGGGGGGGACCCGCCGGTGAGGCCAAACCTCACTCTCTGTGCAGGGGGTAGGCAGCAGCTGGCGTCAAACAGCTGTGCCAAGCTGTAGCTGGCAAGGACTACAGCTCCCAACATGCCAAGGGAGCAAGGCCAGCAAAAACAACAAGTCCCAGAATACCATGGGGTGTGTCCCCTCAGACACCTGCTAGGCCTGGGAGGTGGGGTAGGTGGATGTTGGTATAGGTACAAGCTCCCAGGCTCATTCTCCCCTTCCCTTCAATATTAAAGGTATCTATTTCTACCCTGATCAAGGAGGATGGCAGGAAGGAGAATTCCTCTCCATGTGCTTTCCACCCTCATTCTGTTCAGAGAGAACTGCTCTACAGCTGCTCTACATTTTGTCCCTGCACACGTCCCCACAAGCTTGGGGGGCTGTTCCCATGGACCACTACTGTGGGTAGGAAGGTCAACCTCTGCTCTCTCACCAATCCCTTGGCTGCTGGCCTAGAGCCCTCTACCTTCAGGGGAGAGGGAACAGATCTCAGCACCCTCTCCAAACTGAGCCTGGTAGACTCACCCGGCTCCTGCACTCCTGGTTCTGGAGGATCCCCCACCCCATGCTTAGCCTCCCGGTCCTTTCTCTCTCCTCTCCTCCCCACAGCCTGGGACAGGACCCATTCCCTACTGGGGCTTCGGAGATTTGCTCTTTCCCCCTAGCACACACTCACCCCGCTCCCAAATTGGCTCCACCAGGCGGCCGCTGCTCCGGGCCCTTCTGTCCAGTCCCAGTCCCTCCCCTCCAATCCCTGGTCCTCCCCACCACGGCCCCCAACTCAGACAAAGGGTAGCTCAGGCTGAGCCCTGCTCTGCTTGGCTCTTCTCTGTTCAGCTTCGTGTGCAACACTAGCGGGGCCTGGCCCCCGCAGCCCCCTAGCCGCTGCCGCGCCCCTCCCCGCGACTGCCCCTCCCCATGGCCGCCGGGGCTCCGCGCTGCCGACTCTGCCGCCCCTCTGACTCACAGGCCATTTCCTACCAGCTGATGGGGCCGCCCGCCCCGCCCAGCGCCCCAACACCCCCACCGGCCGCCGCGGCCGCCACGCCCCCCCCAGACCACGCCCTCCATGAGCAGCGACCAGGTTCATTGGCCCATAGGAGGCCAGCCTCCCCACGACCTCAAGTGTGAGGCACTCCCCCTCCAAGAGACGCACGCCCATTGGTTCATAAGGGGGGGTCGCCCCGCCCATCTTAACCCCTCATCTGCCCGGAGTCAAAAGCAGCTACCTTGCCTTTTAACCCTTTCAAAGACGTAGGCCTCCCACTTCTCACCCCAGCCCTTCCTTTTCCGATCTTGGTTAATAGGCCGCCTTGGGGCTTTTATAAGCACAGTTCGACAATCTCCAAAGTCAGCCTGCTCTTCTCACACCAGACCCCAAATATTCCCACTCCCATTCATCTCTCCCAGCCTTGCAAACTAGAACTCCAGAGACCAGAGGATTGTCGAAGCCCAGGAAGCTTCCTTCATGCCAAAGCAGATGAAAAAGTCCTGAAGTGGGATCTTATCTCCTTCCATGGAGAAATGGTATTTTTCCCTCTCTTATTCTATATTGATGTTCTTTTGCCCTCATTAGAGGGGCGCCAAGGGCTCGTGAGATAGGGATACATTTTAATCCAGGGACGTAAACATCATTCTTTGTCTCTCTGAACTCCCATTCTGAGATCAGGCTGCTTCATCCCTTCTGCCAGTACTCTTTCTATTCATAGGCTCCTGTTCAAGGAGGCAGAGCACCCAGGGGAAGTGGAATAGGAAGGCTTCTGCCCAGAATGGGGGAAATGTGCCCAACTCTGGTGATGGAGCTCACCCTCATGACTCACAGCTCACTCGAAACTCCCCACCCTCCCCCTGAGTCACTGGCCCCCAGGCCCAGGGCAGACTCAGCCAAATTAAGTGGCAGCAGAACCAGCATTCCTAATTTTTGTCCTCCTATTCTTTAAATGACCAGGATAGAAACCTTTGCAAGGATGAGGCATTAAAAGACATTTTTTAGAGGGGCTGGTTTGGGGCAAGCTAAGAAAATAGATAGCCCTGTCTACCTTTCCCTCTGGACTTGTTGGCAAGTCAGATAGTTTGGAACTTAAGAGGCTTTTTCTCCCAGTCTTCCACAGAAGCAAGAGGAAACCACCAGAGTCAAAAGAGGGATGACTCAAACTGAGGCCCTGGAGAATTGGCATCAGCAAGGACAGGCTCTCTGGTTGTGCCTCCAGAACTGGGGGAGTCCATTCATCTATAGTGCAGAGGCCACAGAAGGCCCAAGGTCCTTGTTTCTACTTTGCCTGTGCTGTGGGCCCCAAGGGCCCTGAGGTTGTCACTGGACAGTAAAAAGAGGCTCCCCTCCCCCTACTTCCTCCTTGTGCCCTACGCTTAGGAAGGACAAGCAAGTAACAGTTAGTTCCTCTAGGCTCCCTTCTCCTCACCTCAGTCCAGGGGAAAAACCCTGAAAAAGAACCCAGTTGCCATGGACTGACTTCCTTGCTGGTTCCCTAATGCTAAGGAACAGGATTAGGAAATTTTCAACACCCTGAACAAAATTGCAGAGTACCAATGTAAGAGACTACTTGCCTTATTAAAAGCTTGCTGGGAAGACAGGTAGACACAGAACACTGTAGAAAGGAATAATCACTTGGTGACCCCCCCTTTGTTCTATCTTACTGCCACTATCATAGGCCCAGGCCTTAGTTACCTACAAAGGTCAGGGGGCAATAATTCAGGGGGAAGGATCAAAAATGTTCCAGGCCTCAGTGTGCCCTGGGAAAGCAGCTTGGTACAATCAATAGGCCTCACCGAGCTGCCCTAAACTCTCACCCTGCTTTATTTTTTTCATAGCTGTTATCACCACCTGACACCTCCCTCCCTCTCCCTCCTTCTCCCTCCCTCTCCCTCCTTCTCCCTCCCTCTCCCTCCTTCTCCCTCCCTCTCCCTCCCCCCCCCTCACCCCCTCCCTCTCCCTCCCTCTCCCTCTCCCTCCCTCTCCCTCCCTCTCTCTCTCACACACACACACACATTACTTTCTCCCATTAGAATGGAAGCTCCATGAGAGCAGCAACTTTGTCTGTTTTGTTCATGCTGATGTTCGTAGAATCAACATCAGTGCCTGGCCCATAATAGATGCTCAATAAACACTGGCTGGAAGAAAGAATGAGCCCTGGGCTGAGTGAATAGCAATCAGGAGGCCTGGGTCCTAACTTCTGCTCTTTCACTGTGAGACCTGGAGAAAAATCGCAATCTCTTTGGCCATAAATTTCCAAATCTGTAAAATGAGGGGTCTGTATAAACGATGACCACTGGGGGCCTCTACAACTCTGGCCTTATACTGCTTAATTCTAATGGTGATTGTTCACTCATATCCATTTTCAGAAGATGGATCCAAGCGTCTGAATGCCTTGCTGCTTGTGTAGAAGCAGAAAGGCTATACACCCCAGCCTCAGCACAGCACAGCAAACTGATCACACAAATGCCTCAGGAAGCTGGAGTGAGTCTGCCCTAGGCCGGCCCCTCTGAGAGACAGTCTGGGAAGCTGTGTTGCCATAGCAATCAGCTCCTCCTCAAAAGGCTTCAGCCTGCCCTCTTTTACCCCACTCTACCCCACGGCTTTGTCTGGCATCAGCACCTCCTCCCTCCCCAGCCAGTCTCTCAGCTAGAGAAGGCTGGCTTGGGGCCCCTTTCAGCAACACTGCCACACTCATTCAGCCACTGTGTGGAAGGCATCCTTTCTCACCCTCTCCCAGCCAGCCAAGGGGCAAAAAGAACTCTGGCACTACATCAAGTCCCCTCAGGGAACCACAGGAGCCTCCAAGAGGACTAGGCCCTAGCCTCAGTTCTGGCAGTCAGCTTCCAAGCCAGGAGTGTGGGGAGCCATCCCCTCTTCCTCCCCCAGCTGAGGCTGGAAACTCACATCCTTTCCTGAGTTCAGCCCACAATAGTGGCCCACCTCTCAAAACATACATTCAAGACCCTCGATACTTCTCATCATTTCCCCTTCCCACAGAAGCCCAGAATTTTTGAGGTACCTAGGGTTTTCTACCCAGGAGAAGAAAAAGGGTGGGGAAAATCAGTTTGTGGCAAGTGGTAAAAATGTGCCTACCAGTCACTTGGGGGGCTGTTGAGAGAGACCTTGGTAGTAGTAGGGGTGGGGACTGGGCCTTGCTGCTGGTTACCAGGGTCTCTGGCCATTGAGTACAAAGTCCCAGGCAGGGCACAGCTCCTAGACAGGCAAGGACCAGGCCAGGCCCCAGGGCGAGGAAGGAAGTGGGAAATGAGCACACCCAGAACACAAGGGCAGGGCAAAGGGGGGGAGGGGGAAGACAGGGACCAATGCAGGCTTCTGGGAGGAACAGGAACTAGAGTGAGGGGTTAACAGGAACTCAGTGGGGAAAGGGTCCCCAGAGACACCAGCTAGGGGAAGAAACCCTAGTCTCAGCCAGACAGATCCAAAGCAGACTGAGGAGAGAGTCACATACACCCCAGGGGCAAGCAGGGCCTGGATCCTCTCTAAGAGTGCTCAGGCCTGAAGGTGGAGTTAGGAGCTGAGGAGCCAGGAGCACTATGGACTGGCTTCCTCACCCTACTAATTCCATCACCCTCACTCCTAGAACACCGTACACAAACGTCTTTCTGGAGTCTTTACAATGCCCCCAGACTTTCTCAAAGCACTAGGGATTCTTCCCCCCTCACTTGATGCCTACAGCCCCCTTCCCTCATACAGTGCTCAGAGCCCCATCCCTTCTTCCTCCACACAGTCCCTCGGCCCCTCCCACACTCTGGACCGCCAGCCCTTCTCCATCACACAGCACCCTCTTTCCCCAAAGCGCCTTCAGATCCCCTCCTCTCAAGTATTGTCTCCAACCCCTCACATCAGACAGCACCTCGCCCCCTCACATTGTACGTCCCACCCCCACAAAGCACTCCCGCCCCTCCCCCACAAGGGCCCCTGGAGAATGCACCTCCTTGCCCACACATCGACCCCCCCATCCCCTCCCCCACCTCTGTCTTCCCCTCCCTTAGCAGTCTCCAGATCCTCTTCTTCCCTAACGTGCGCCCCCTCTCCTCATGTCTGCCCAAGCGCACCCCCGTCCTTGTCCCTTCTTCCACACGCACCCCGCCCCACACCTGTAGTTCCGTGAGTCCCGTTGCACCTGAGGAGGTAGTGGACGGGGGCAGTTACTGAGCGGCCTGCCCGGGCCTGCAAACCTCGCCCCTTCGGCCCGAGCCCCGCCCCCGCAACGCCCGGGCCCACCCTCTCCCTGGTCCCACCTCCCACCTTCCCCGGGCTCGTCCCCTTTCCTAGTTTCTTCAATTCCTGGGGCCCCTCACCGTGACCCAGGCCCCGCCCTCTGGCCCCGCCCCCTCTCGTCCTCCCGGCGTCTCCGGGAACCTCCGCTCGTCCCAGGCCCCACCCCTGACCCCGCCCCCTGTGGTCTCCCCGCCTTTCGCTGGGACCCGCCCCTCGGATTCCAGCCCAGCAGAGCCCGGCCAGGCCCCTCCACCCCGAGCTCCCTCCGGTCTCGGAGCCTCCCCTCCCCGCCCCTTCTCCCGCTCCCTCACCCGGGCGCTCGCGCTCCAGCCCGGATGCGCTGGCTCTGACTGGCGGCAGCGGCCCCGATGGATGGCGGAGGAGACAAAGTGATGGCTGCAGGTCGCCGGAGGACCCACCCCGGCCGCGTGCGGCTTCTGTGATGACAGGTCTGGAGGGGCGGGGCCTCGCCGACCGGATCCGGCAGGGCCTGGGAGCCCGGGCCCGGGCCAGAGCGCTACCCGGCGGGCTCCGAGCCTGGCGGGGCGCTCCTCAGGCTGTCGCGCCTCTGTGAGCTGCCCGCGGAACTCGCGCCTCTGTGGGGACGCCCGGGTTAGCGCTCGCACTTGCCCTAACGGGTCTGTGGGGTTCGCAAGTGCTGAAGCAGTCTCAGGGTCTGTGAAATGGGGCAGTCTGGCTGATGGGTCTCCGGGCTGTGAGGCTAAGCGGTTTCAGCAGCCTGCGCTGTGCGGAGAGTCCGAGTTCTGGGAGACCGGCAGGAAGGATGGGATGTGGACCTGGGGGGTGGGTCCGCTGGGAAGTCTGTGAGTTCCAGCAGCCTAAGTGCTAATAGGAGTCAGGAGAGCCTGCAATCGCCGGAGAAAGATAGAGCCTTTGCTTTGCACAAGTGTCGAGTGAACTGTGTGCCAGTCACATGTGTTCTGTAATTTAATTAGCGCTTGAGTCTCCTCTCCGACTTCCCCCGCCCCACGGGTTTCCGAGACACAGCGGGGAGGGCGACGCTTACCAGCTACCGGTAGGTGGCAGCACAGGACCCTTGCAGGACTGAGTGGCCCTGAGCCCAGGGCCTTTCAGGACTCTCCGTGGAGCGGGCGGTATAGACGGATGTATAGTGAGTCGGACCTGGTAAAAGTTCTTTGAAAGTCTCAGATTCTTTAGGTGTCTGTGACTTTCTTTCTGTGAGTAGTTAACTTAAGCTCGTTTGCTGAACACCAGTGGTGTACTAGGCGCAAGGAAAAAGAAAAAAATTTGTCTGCCTTTAAAGAACTTTAGATTGTCGTACAAATACCTACATAATCCTGGAGAGAGTAAAGTTGGAAGGGTTTTGCGTAGTGGAAAAAGCACAGAGTTTGTAGTCGTGGGTTGGTCTCTGAACTTTGGGTATTGGGTATTTACTAACTATGAATTTGGGTAAATTACTTGACTTTTTAAAAAATAAAGTTTTAATTTTAGAACAATTTTAGATTTAGAGAAAATTTGTGAAGATAGTACAGAGAGTTTCCATAAACCCCACAGCCAATTTCCCCTCATTATCTTACATTAGTATGGTTCATTTGTTACAATTAATTAACCAATATTGATATACTATCATTAACTGAAGTCCATACTTTATTCAGATTTTCTTAGTTTTTACCTTATGTCCTTTTTCTGTTCCAGAATC